TAGGAAAAGATTGTCAGGTTACATATGAATAATATTACAGCCTTCTAACGCAAGCAAACACAGTTTCCTGAGATTTAAAATAACACAGCCCTATGCAAGCAGATCATTTTAGGGCCTGGATTGACCCCCTGATCCCACCTTCCTCTTCCTCTGGGCCATATGTGCAGAAAAATACCTGGATATTCAGTGGAAACACGACTTTCTATCTCATCGGTGGTAAGAACAAGCCCAAAGGCCAATCAAAAGTCAGGTTTCTGTGTCTAGAAATGAAACATTATGAATATTATAGAGCTATAAAACTAGTGATGAAGGATCCAGACGATAAAATCAAAGTGGTAAAATCAACTGCAGCTCAACTGCAGTGAGATGGATTTTCTTTTAGTACACGTTTATCCTGAGATCCTGACTGGCTCATTGACGGTCAAATGTTCAGGTACATGTATCGAGAATAAAACGACACATCAGCAGCTGAGAATGTCCCGATAGGACATTTTTGTTCACAATATGGTTTCACGCATTTTCACTCATTGTCTTGGCACGTTCATTAATCACCCTCTGCTGACGCTTGTATAATCTGTTCCATTCCGGTTTTAAACGAATTTCTCGGCAGTTTTAGAAGAACTTCAAAGCAACTACATAGTTTAAAAGGAATTCAATCAGTCTATTGAAAGAGTTTCTTTCTCCGTGACTAACGCTGCATCTCAGAATAGTCCAGATGACATGACATCCTTTACATGAGTCTCCTCAAACTCGGCAATCCCTGAATAGCAGTAACAGATTTACACAAATCCAACGACTAAAGCAACAGATTGAGATAATGAGCCTTACAGGAACCGGTCCTCAGTGGCCTAAAGAGAAGCACAACGAGGTGTTGCTGTGGTTATGGATTCATCTGAAGTCTCTAATTGGACTGGTTCCTCGGTTGAAGGGTACCAGGGTAGGGAACTCTGTTTCAAGACAATTCAGGATCCCCCTAAAAGAGTAGGAACAGTAAGAGTAGGATGAAGAACAGATTCCTGACATGAAGCAGGGGGAGAAAGGGTAGAGACAGCGTCAAGGATGAGGTAAAAAAGGATGGAAATCAGATTTAGAGGATGGATGGAGTGGAGAGAAAGAATCACCCCGGTCAGGAAGGGTGAAGTAAGTAGAAGAAGTTGAAGTGTGGCCCTGTGTCCTGTGTCCAGATTCATCAATTAAAAATGTTCCTTGTGACGATAACATGCTCAGAGAATTAAAAAGGTTTTCAGTGGGTGACTGCCAGCCCGGTTCGGTGCTGGTCTCCTTTAGACAAAGTCCTTCCACAATGGCAGAATCAGCCGAGTGACCACAGAGTGACCACAGAGTGGTGGACCAAGTCTCTCCAGCCGTCCCATTCACTACTGATGGGCATTTCTGTGGGCCTGGACCCTCTTCAGGCCCAGAGATGCGTCAGCCTTTACCTCCGGTTCTGCCTTGGTTCCTTCCAAAGAGGAGGCCCCAGAATCCCCACCTGGATCTGACTTTGGCCTCTTTATAACTAAACCCAGTCGTGTTATTGATCTGTAGCCAAGTAACCCTAAAAGTTGAACGTTTTTCCACTTGTTGTCTATTTACCTGCGTTCTTTAGCATGTCTTTTTCAGTCGAGCTCTGAGCTCAGAGGGTTTCATACAGTTCTGTTATAAAAAACGAATTGTGAGACAGGATCGGGTCGTTTGATCAAATACGGCTTTCTGAATAGAAGGCCGTTTGGGCTCCTTTCTCATCTTAGCTGCTTTTAGCAATTCATCAACCTGCTGTCCTCCATGCTGGCCTCTCTTTCTCATTTTCAGTTCTCCTGCTGTGTCTTATCCCTTTTGATGTTTTCGGGTTCCTGGGGTTTTCAAAGGGTCACAAAGGGCAGCCCCTACTGTTCTATCAAACCCGGGCTTGCGGGATTCGTGTACGTTACCACCTGTCCTCGCCACTCCGGCCCAACACCGCTGGTGCCACTGTCGTCACTCCTCATCTGGCTACCGGTACGTCGTTTTCTTTTCTCTCGCTCTCTTAAAAAAACACGCGCACACACTAAAAATACACTAATGAGCAAAAGCTCAAAGCAGAAAAGTTTCTATAGGGCAGAACCCCTACCGTCTGACAACGGTCACACAGAGACAAATCAAGGCGTCCAGCTGCTACGAGCCCACCCTCTCCTCACACTTCACATGCGGCAAAAGCTTCTTCTGGCCAGAGCACAAACTGGTGGGGGTTGCTCGACCGAGAAAAAAAGAGCAGTGTCATGGGGGGGGGGGGAATCAATTGCAGGGTTGAGTTCAGAGAAGCAACCAAAGCCCATAAATATGGAAAATTTGCCTTTAAATGAGAGCCAAAGGTCAAATAACTCCAACTCAGCTGTTGAGCTTTAGAAGCTTTATACATTTATTCATTTGTGGTTCTTTTCATTTCTGAACTCATTAGATCTGTAATGTTCGTTTCTCAATAAGGTTATATGTTTTGTTTGCTTCTCCATGTGTGTCTCTGGTCTGATCAGTTGTGTTCATTTTTAAAAGTTACTGTTTTTCATTAAGTTCCTTTTTCTAGTTGACCTCTTTTAAGGGTCTGTCCTACATTGTTAGCTTTGCTTGGTTCGTTTTTGCAAGTTTTAGTTGAATAGACGTTTTTTTTAAGGCATCCCTGTGTCATCTTGTCTAAGATGGCCCCCTCAAAATGACTTTCCTAAGTATTGGTGGGAGTTTCTGGAGTGATGAACACACCAACTCCACTGAACCAAACCAGAAAGAGGTTCTTCCCATCTGCAGCAGAGCAGTGACATCCACCTCCAGGATTGCGCGTGAGCAATCAACATCAACACGCACATCCTGGGTGGCCATGCAGTCAACGTTTGCGGGCAATTTTGGTCTTGTTTTGAGGAGCAGAGGCAGGAAAAGGGGGACTTTGAGTTAAGAACTGGAAAGATGGAGGAACAATGAGACCAATGATGGACACAGAGTGAGACACAGTTCTGAGAATGGACCATAACAAACACAACACAAAGCCACAGCAGAAGAGTCATATTTCTGTCTTCAAATTTAGGGGTTGGGAAATAAATGCGTCCAGCATGATTCCTGACCAAAGACCTACTGCTTCATTCCTTCTTCTTGCAGGTCTAGGGCACCATCTACTGGTGTGATCAAGGAACCTCCACTGTAGGGCTAAAAACCCCTTACTCTTAGTGTTGAGGAGTGGGTGAAACAAGAAAAGCTGGCAACCAAACAATCGGGCCGTCTACTTAAAAAGTATTGTAGGGACCTGGTTCTAAACCAGGAGAACATTTAAAGGCAGATGTTTCCTCATTATTCTTAGATGTGGCACATTTGGAAGCAATTTCTCCAGAATAAAATGTAAACTTGACACTCATTACTCAAGATACTTCTCAATTAAATGCTTCCAAGGATAGCCATTTTTATTTTTACTACTCCAATATGTACAAGTAAACATTTAGACTTCAACTCAACCTTTTCATTCTCTGTTGAAGGGCCCTACTCTTCTCCAAACACTGTGTATTTACATCAAGCTGAATGTCTGGAAACAAAGTGACAGGAGGAGTCTTTGGAACAATGTTTTGAATCAAATTGAATTGAATTGAATATACTTTATTGATCTTTGTTACATATGTTCCAAATCAAATAAAATTTTCTAATTATACAAGATACATAATGATTTTTAAAATGTCATATATTTTGTCTTCATTGCTACATGAGACTCCATCTTTTTTACTTTTCAGAATTAAGATGGTGTGGGGAGTTGAGAAAATTCCCATGGAACACCAACTCTTTCCTCATGCTTCAACAAAACTTTAGAAGGCCATGGCTGAGATACATACACATTAGCTCCATCCTATCCAGAGCATACACTATGTAGGATTATATATTTAATTGCAAAGTAGTCTCAAAGTACTTTCACTGTGCATTTACATGCTCCTGCATCAACTCCTGTTAACTACAGCTTGTAAGATCCCTCTTTGTTCCCGATTGCATCCTGTGTGCATTAGTCCAATACTCTATTTATGTTTGGTACCACAGAGGGGGTGGGAAACTGAGATACCAGGCTGTCTTACTTCATTAGCTTAACATTCTGAACCTAAAGCTTGTGAAATCCCCACTGAAATAATAAAAAAAAATAGAATAAAAACATAAAATAAGAAGCAAGCTGCAGCTTGAAACAAACCTCAGGTATGATGAATAAATCTAATTTTCCAGATTGTAACATCAAAACAAATTCAAAGTGCTCTACACACAGTTTAAAAGCAGAAAATCACGAAAACGTTCAACAAAATAAAAAGTTGATTTAATAGATTGAAAGTGAGGCATGCAGATAAAATACTTCCAGCTGTCATATGCACAGCTAAATACAACTTTTTCGGACTGGATTTAAAAATTGTCAGAGCTCAGGCCTGTCACATCTGTCACATCTGCCCGTCTGTGTGTGTGTGTGTGTGTGTGTGTGTGTGTGTGTGTGT